GTTGTCGTTGATATCGCAAACTGACCATTCTCGCATCTCCATCGCTCCCTATCCCTCCAGCTCAAGACATTTTACGGATCGAACCAGCCGAGATGTTGTCGAAATTCGCTGCTACGGCCCTCGCGGCCAGCACCTTTGCATCCGTGGCCCACGCCTGGCTCCCCGGCCACAAGATTCGAGGTGTCAATGTCGGCTCCTTGTTCGTCTTCGAGCCGTGGATCGACAGCTCCGAGTGGAGCAGGATTGGATGCTCGGGGCAGAAGTCGGAGTTTGACTGCGTCATGAACATTGGCCAGGAAGCCGCCGACAAGGGCTTCCAGAGCCACTGGGACGAGTGGCTCACCACCACCGACCTGGATGAGATGAAGAGCTACGGCCTCAACACTGTCAGGATCCCGTTGGGGTACTGGCTCAAGGAAGACCTCGTTGACAAGTCGGAGCATTTCCCCAAGGTGAGTACTCTACTACCGGCAAGATGCCACGTAGAGTACACTAACCCTTTGCTTTCCAGGGAGGTCTTGATAAGTTGACCTCATTTGTGGGTGCTGCAAGCGACCGAGGCTTTTACATCATTCTCGAGTGAGTCTTACATCACCAGTATATGTGGTGATTCTCGCTGACCATGACAGCTTCCATGGAGCACCCGGTGCCCAGGAGCCCAACCAGCCGTTCACCGGCCAGTACAACCCCAACGCCGACTTCTACAACGACTACAACTACGGCCGCGCGTTGGAGTGGCTGAAGTGGATCACGGAGATCAAGCACACCAAGAACGAGTACCGCAACGTGGGCATGATCGAGGTCCTCAACGAGCCCACCAACTGGGACCACCAGGTCGACTCGCTTCGAAGCAGCTACTACGTTAATGCCTACAATGTGAGTTCATGCGTGGAGTCCCGCTTGCCAAAGCCGGGAAAATAATAATACTGACCTTTGCTGTTAGGCCATCCGCGACGTCGAGAAGTCTCTCGGCGTGACTTCGAACAACTACGTCCACATCCAGATGATGAGCAGCCTCTGGGGCTCGGGAAACCCGACCGAGTTCCTCTCCGACACCACATTCACGGCCTTCGACGACCACCGGTACCTGAAGTGGGACACCTCCGTCGCCGTCAACAAGCAGTCGTACATCTCCACGTCCTGCGCGGACGACCGCAAGGCCGAGAGCCCTCTGTTCATCGGCGAGTGGAGTCTGAGCGTCCCCGACAACGTCGAGAACACGGATGAGTGGAAGCCGGCCAACGACCCTGACTTCTACCGCAAGTGGTTCGCCGCCCAGATCCAGACCTACGAGCGCTCGACCGAGGGATGGATCTTCTGGACTTGGAAGGCTAACCTCAACGACCCGCGATGGTCCTACAAGGGTGAGTGAAAATTCCCATGATGTGTCTGAAGACTCCCGACTAATGATGAGTAGATGCTGTTGAGGCAGGAATTATCGGCAAGGACCTCGAGAGTGTTCTCAAGTCACAAGTTTGCTAGGTTGGGTCGAAAGTTTAGATCACAGTTAAATACTGCGGACGGCGGTGCCAGAAGCAACTCTGTATTATTAAAAATCATTATCCATTAGAGCTTGTTCCATCCGAACCCAGGCTGAAGAAGCATATGCCTAGAGAAGCACTCGTGTCTCGAACTGCCGTGAATACATCAAAACGGAACACTGATCATCCAAAGCCCAGATACTCATTTCCAATGCCGACAAAACGCCTGCCATTCCCACAAGCGACAGTCACCCAAAGGCATCCCCATCCACTGAATCGAATAACGCCGCCCTCTCAATTATTGGGTATCACATTTCATCTTCCATTTTTTTTTCTTCTCCTGCTCGCGCTATGCCGTGGTCCGGTCTAATAAAGCCATCTTTACTTGTCGTTACCGCTGGGGAGCTCAGCATAGAAGCCTCCCGTCACATTATGCGCGTTCGCCATCTCGGGGTTGGGGTGTGCCTGCGTCCAGCGAGGGTCCTGCGGCGTCTGCGCGTAGCCGGGGTGGAGGCGGGAGTCGTGGGGAGCGAAGTTGTACGACGCGGGCATCTCGTAGGCCTGAAACTGCTGCGGCACCTGGTCCTTGCCGGGGATCTGGTACGGCTGAGGCGTGGGCGCGGGCGAGTGTTGGTGGATGGATGGGGTGTGATAGGGCTGCGCGTGGCTGGGCATCGGCGAGCCGGCGGAGTGGTGGCTCTGCGGCCGGATGCTGCCTGGCCGGTTGTACATGAACGTGGGGGAGTGGCCGAGGCCTCCTGGGCCCGGGGAGGGCGAGCTCGTGGGGAGCGAAGGGCTGGTCGGCGGGAACTGTTGTTGTTGTTGCTGCTGCGGGAACTGCTGCTGCTGGTGCGAGAGCGTCTGGGATCGGTCGTTGGGGTTGATGGTGGTGATGCGGCCGTCGGGGGTCATCATGGCCCGCAGGACACCGGCGTCGAGCAGCTCAGCCTTGCGGATGATGCGGCCGACCATCTCCTTGCTGGCGGCCTTGAGCTCTTTCTTGACGAAGCCGACCATGGTGATATTGCAGCGGATCTCGATGTCCTCGCGGAGGTAGAGCCCGTCGGTGGGGGCGCCGAGAGCGATGAGGCCCATCTCCTTGACCTCGGGAGGCTCGAGACCGGGCTGGTTGCCGCCGATGCGATACTTGTTGCGCAGGTCGATGCTCATGGGCGCGTAGATGTGCGTCTGAAGCCCCCAGGGCATGTCGTGGAAGCAGCCATTGAAGGTGATCTTGCTGGAGCCCAGCTTGCCGGCGCCAGGCAGGACCTGGACGCGCTCGGTGATCTCATACCATGTGCTGTAGTATTCGTCTGCGGCGGCCGTCCGAGGGGCCGGGATGGGCTTGTGGTCGAGGACGAGGGGGTTGAGGGTGATGACTTCGGGATGCGAGTGGAGGATGTCGAGAGCGAGCTGGCGAGGGATGAAGCCTGGGATCGGGGTGATGACGGTGTAGGCCTCCTTCTTGCGGAGCATTTTGGGGGATTTAATTTATCAAGAGCCCCCTGGCAGGTCTGGTGGATTGCTGGAATGTGCGTGCAGATGCAGTTGGGTGTATTATTAGAAACCGGTCCCTGGACAAGCACGCAACAGAGTCGGGGAAAGATAGGGCAGATCGCAGCACTCTAAGGGACTTTTTGTCTTTGCGAGAGAGGGAGAGAGATGGAATGGGATGAGTAACTCGTGAGGTAAATAATCCGGCATCATCTGCTACACTGCTACACTACCCAACCCACTTGGCTAGATTCGACGCCAGCCACACATCCAGCAATCTGCTAGCGCTTGTCCGTTGTCAGACAGTGGCTGGTCTAGTCTGCTCCGTGATCTACTAGGGTCACTGCGTAAGCTGATAGCGAGCAAAGTGGCAGTGCGTAACAGTGTCCAGTGCCGGACGGTGAGGAGGCAGCGGTTTGTCCAACTCTCGTACTGGCCAATCATGGAGACTGCCAGCCCCCAAGGACTCCTCTCGCTGCATTACCTGCGGCAATGCCATGAGCTTGGCGTTTGATAGGCGAGTTGGCTGCCCAATATGTGGCTGTCCCACCTTCAGGAGATGTTACCACCCAGCGGGATACGATGGCCTGTGGGGAAATGGATGAAAACCCTGCAGAAGATTGTCGCGAATTATTGAAGATGGATACATCTTATCGCTCCATTAATTGAAATAGTACACGGCATTTTCCAGCCAGGCGAGTCACTGACATGGAGCGCTGGACAATGGATGCGGAGGGGTTGGTGTGTGAGAGGTCGCATGAAGATGAGACACTCCCTGTTCTACGGCCACCTTGTTGTCTCATCACTCGGTAAGCACATCGCGAGGAGCTGAATATTCGTATTTCATGGACCATCTCGACTCTGAGAGACCTGGAGCCTTCAGTAAAGCAAGCTTGGAGTCGAGGCCCAGGCCCATTTGCCCTGATGAGCTGGCATAGAGAGAGAAAGGCGTTCTAGTTCGACCATTTGATGGCCTCTCTCTCGGCCGTAATCCGTTGCCCACCTTTTCCAAGCAGATCAAGGGCAGACCAGCGCCGCGGAAGTGCATTTATGCAACAGGCCGCCAGTAACCGCCGCCAACCTCGTTTCAAAGCCTGTTGGGTATCATTATGTTGGGCATTGGCAGACTACCCTATGGTTGCCTTACTGCCCTACAGCCCTACTGCACGAATTGATCATAATTGATCCTTGCGGCGGATGCAAGAAATGATGACGAGTCAATTATCTTGCGTGCGACGTGGTGGATGAATGTCCGCCCGGTGATCCCCCCTCTTCCCTTCGGTGCGCCCCTCAGCCATGGCATCTGAGCCTCTGCCAGAGATTCTCATTTGTGATAGATAACGGACAGCTCAGCAGATGGCTAGATTCCAATGTATTGTATGTGTATGTCTACTTGTGTTATAAACTCACAGCCTCCGACGAAGAAAAAAATACGGCATTCACGAAGCACATTCCTCGACTTGATTCATGATACAATCAACGACTGTACTGACGTCAGCTGAGGATGGCTGAGCAGCTACTCCAAATGGTCCCAAACCTACATCTGGTAGTTTGTACACCCAACTACGTACACACGTACGCACCACACACACTCAAGACACTGTCCCGACCTTGCGCGACAACTAGTGGATATTGGGTGATTGCCTGTCGTGCTCGACCTGGTGAATCATGAGCCCATTTACCAGGCTCTTCCATGTATTTGGCCTGGTTCTCGCAGCCGTGCTACGGGCTTTGACCTCGCGTTCCTCGTAAAGCTCGCGATCCACTGATCCGATCCCGCCCGTCCCGAGGATCCATGCCGTGATAGTCCCCTGTAACGACGCTTCAGCGAGTGATCCGGGCCTGTAGAAGAGAAACGCGGGGGCGTTGGGTCTGAGCTTCGTCACCTGTGATGCTTATACATATCTGCCTACTGCCTTGTGTGGCATCCATCCCATCCCTATTTCATCACACCTCCCGTTTCTGACCTGGAAATTGGATTCGTGAGAGAGACTGTTCGCTCCTCGCAGTAAATACAAACGCAACATGAAGTCTGCTGCGCTCTGTCTCCTGGCAGCGTCCAGCTCCCTGGCCGCTGTACTTCCAGGCCCGGTTCAGGTACCCCTTGGTGGCGGCCGCAATCCCACCTCCCACTCTCACCATGGTAGCCACAGCGCCGAGGATGATTCCCATCAGTCGTTCCTCGACTCGTGGCTCGAGACTCTTCAGCCGGTCAAGGACAGCATCACATCCGTAATTGACTCCGCCACCGATGAACTGGCCTCTGCCACCAGCACTCTCAATGGCTTCAAGGATGACATGCTCCGCAAGCTCCAGGATGCCACCAACGAGGCCAAGCTTGAGTTCCCAGACCTGACCATCTACCAGCTCATCCAGTTGAGCAACCACACCAAGAAGTTCGTCAAGGCTCTTGACAAATTCCCCGATGTGGTCAAGATACTTAACGGCACCGAGGCCAATCACACGCTCTTCGTGCCAATTGACGAAGCCTTTGAGCATCTCCCCGACCATGAACCTCCCAGCAACGAGTTCATCGAGGCTGCCCTCAAGTATCACATTGGTGTAGGAAACTACGCTGTTCCCCGCCTGCTGAGCACCAACACTCTTCCTACTGCCTACAATGAGAAGGGTCTTGGTGGCGAGCCACAAAGGCTTCGCACCCGCGTGTCTTTGGCTGGTGTTACCGTGAACTTCTACAGCAAGGTGGTTGCTGCCGATATTGTACGTACATCTTTTGACTTGTCGATTCTACCGGAGATATCGCATAACCCATCCTGTATACCTACTAACACTGAAAACAGGCTGCGAAGAACGGTGTCATTCACGCCGTGCGCCACATCCTAGTCCCTCCTCCACCTCTGGGCCCCATCCTGGCTCTTGACCCAAGCCGCTTCTCTACCCTGCTCCTGGCCTACCAAAAGACGGATTTCGTCAAGTACGTCCATGGTCTCAAGATCAACGGCAGCACCCTCTTCGCCCCCGACAACGAGGCCTTCGCTGCCCTCGGTCCCCGCGCCAATGCCTTCCTCTTCAACACCGAAAAGGGACTCAAGTATCTCGATGCGCTGCTGAAGTATCAGATCGCCCCCAACGCCACCCTTTATACCGACGCCTTTTACGACAAGACCGGTAAAGAGGAGAAGACTGAGACCCGGGAGGAACATTACGACCTCGCCACCCTCCTTCCCGGCGCTAACATCGGCGTCGACATCAAGACCATCTTTGGGTTCAAGATTTACCTCGTAAACGGCTTTACCAAGGCCAAGATTGAAGACGTGGTCGGGAAGAATGGTGTTATCCAGGTGGTTAACAAGGTTCCTATCCCCCCTCGCAACAAGCACGACACTGAAGATGCCGGAGGTGAGATTGAGCTTGAGGATCTGATGGAGCGTCTTGCTGGTTATGTTGAGTGACCGCTTGAAAACGGAAAGAAGAAGGCCTAGCTCTCCTTTGGTTACCGGTCCTTCATTTACAATCAGGGATAATGGGTTTTCTACCATTTCTAGGCGTGATTAATAGTGAGAAGAGTAATGCTATCACTGTGTGGCGGTGTTGCGATGATGTGTAGATGGATAAGAGGCTTCTAGACTCTTGGTAGTTTTTCAAATGCTCTTGTCTCAAATGAATGAAGTTCAAATTCTAACTAACCCCTACTCGTAGTCTTCCTGGTTGAATAAACTGATTGATGTTCATATGATAGATGATTTTGGTAGTTTTTCAAATGCTCTTGTGTCAAATGAATGAAGTTAAAATTCTAACTAACCCCTACTCGTTGTCTTCCTGGTTGAATAAACTGATTGATGTTCATATGATAGATGATTAAATGATAGCGACCGCTTCTGTCTCGGGTAAAATCTGCCAGTCGTAAAGTCTACCAGCGCCAACTCTCTCATACCTGGAAGAGTCCGCAGCGATCACAGGTCGTATTATCAAGGCGTAGTAAACCGATTCCTCACGACAACTAGCCCTCCCCTCTTTGCCAAGCAAGACGCATTTCCAAGCATTCCGATCATTCTGGTCAAAACCACAGTCAAAAACAATCTCCTCCATAGACTCCCACGCATCGACGACCAAGTTGTTTGCCACCCCGGACAGATGCTCGTCCCATGATTTCAAAGAATGGTCGGTATCGAAAGGACTTTTCAAGTTTTTCAACCATACCACCTTCTTGAACGGAATGTCCATGTATGTGATCCTCCCCGCGTAGGACATCCAAGACCATGAAGGAACTCGTTTGCCACCCATGGGGTCAATCCGAGTTAGTCCTCCCGTGACGCTCGCCGTCCAAAGCAATGTTCTGGCAAAAAACACCTCATAGATACCGTACAGCGCCTGCGACTTGAACACCCGAGCTATTCGTTTCTCTATACCTAGCATAGCTTTGGGGCGGTCAGTCAAGTATCCCAGGGTAAGGCCACTATAGAGCTCCTGTATATACTGAAGCAGCCGGATCCACTCATCCTTGTACTTGTAGTGCCGGAATGATGACTCTGGGAAGTGTGCGTCTCCGAGAAACCGCGACTGGGGACTACTTCCTGGGTTAGGAACCATGAAGCTGTTGAGGTATTCTCTTGAGGGGATGCTTACTTTTCAAGTTGAGCTAAAGTTTCACAATAAATGCCTTGCCCACATTCCCAGTATATCTGCGTAGACGTTATATGAATCGTCCGACGAGCCAAAGCTCGCTCCTGAAGCACCCATCCTCGTGTATTGAGAAGGCCATGCTCCACATCCTTCTCGAAATCATCAATATACTTTGATAAGTACATCCTATTCCCGGAAGCCCTTACAGCAACAGAAGGGCGCGGTTCTCTGTCGCCCAAGAATCCTTCAAGGGAAGACTTGGCGGATGTGGCTGCAATAACACAGTAAGCGGAGCTGAAAACGTCTTCCATTCGAGCAGCCTCTCTTGTCCAATCTTCTTCATCTCCTTGGATGATGCAAAGAGAATCAATCCAAAGAAACGGAACACCAATTACTCTAGCTAGTTTGACTGCATCCTGAAAGGTTTGTGGGAGTGATTCGAATCGGATTTCCTTCTTGAAATCATCAATGTTGATAACCGTTGTGCGGACCATCTCTTGGTTAGAAACATCTCCCCAGCGGTGACTCAGAGCCACGTACTTATCTTGGGACAGCTTAATCGAGTCTACTAGGCGAATGGTAAAAGTGTGGTCGTGGCCCACAGATATCAACCTCGTGGGCATGTATCTGCCTAGGGTGCTCATGTTTGCCGTGTCCAAGGAGCACTTGTGTGTTTTATTGCAGACGTTGATCCATGCATTTAGAAGCTTGTTCTGCTGGGGACTACCCATCTTTGTGAGCAGCGGAAGCCCAGGCGGCGGAGCTGATAAATTCTTGTTCGCAAAGTCTAGTCAAATCATTAGCTACCCTGGGAAGACTATCTGGGATGACCAGAGACGTCATTGCCAAAGCTTACCCGGCTCGGAGTACAATGAAATCACCGGGAAACCTTGCCCAGGCAGCCGAACCACATGAGACTTGTTGTCGCGGATCAAAACAACTGGTTCTCCGCTCTTCAGGTTGGCATCTGCAATTGACTGAACGAAAAATTGACATAGCGCACAGTCATGCGAACCACGTTTCAACTCCTGTATAGTACGACACAGGTTCCATTTCGACTGGTTAAAGTTGATATTGCTGCACTGTCTGCAAAAGGCTGGAGACTGTATCTCAGGCCGAAGTGATGGCCAATCCAGCTGTGATAAAAGAGATGTTGCAAAGTCGATGTTGCGTACGAAGCGCCACTGGTCTACAAGTTCACTTGTGTACTATTCTTATTAGCAACTTGATTGTTAACTGCTGGCTTAGGTTCAACCTACTGGCTGTTGGATGTTAGATTTGCGCTGAAGCAGGGAAATTGTATGTATGCCATGACTTACGTTCTGTGTACCCGGATCAGTACATGTCCGAAGCTTATACGATAGCAGTGAGTTCAAGGACCTACATACTAATTTGTGTTAGTATATCTGTAAGTTCATATGTTGGTTCGTAAGTTCAGGTATTACATTTGCTCCTCCGGAGAAGGTGTTCCTTATTAATGTTGATTGGACTGCTGGATCTTGTAGTTGGTCGCTTTCAGTTCGATGTTTCCCGAGGAGCAACGACCAAAGACATTTATCGCTTTTCATATATCGCCCCCTGATCGCGATTATCTCTTCCAGAATAAATGTGGCATTTTCCCTGTCCCAGTTTCGAGCTTCCTCACCGTGGTAAGGATCGATGTTCAAGAGCTTTGTCCTAATTAGTTCAATCAACTCATTGGCTAATGGTGAATCTCTTTTTTGCATTTCGGCCATCGTTTTCTCAACAATAGTATTGAGTTTTGGCTTTTGATCCCTCTCATAATCCCAAAATCTAGGTTTCTTGTCTTCAGATAGAGTGGGCTGTGAATCCTTTAAACCTTTGCGAAAGTTGTAAAGACCGCCGTAGCCATCGTAAATCCAAATTGTGAATTCCAGAAAAACGCAGCCGAGCGACCAGTAGTCAAAAAGTCGTGATCGCTTGCTTTTTTTCACTTCCGGCGGTTGATACATAACTGTGCATTGTGTAGTAGAGGTATATTTGTCTCGATCCGCAGTATATTCTTGGTGGAACTTTGAAAGCCCAACATCCGCGATAATAAGTCTCCCTGACGCCGATCCCGGGCCATTTTGCGGAAAATGGAGAATGTTATGGGGTTTGATATCTCCGTGGCGGATTCTCTGTTGATGAAGTTTGTTCAGGCCCTCAAACATCCCATGCATCTGATCAAGGGACCATGCAACAAAGTCCATGCTGCTGTGCTTCAATCTGTCAAAACTCTTCCAAAACTCATTAAGATTACCACCGTGGGCCCATGGGAACAGGAAGCACCTGCGTTGGCCCCATTTGTAGACGAAAATGGCCCTGATGAGATGGTCGTGTTCCATGTTCGCCATTTGCTGAAGGGTTTGAGTTTCTTGGCGGTAGAATTTCTCAATGTTACCACCAGAGGCGCCTTGGACTTTCAATATCTTAAGGGCAGCTTCGATTCCCTTGGACGAGCCCTCTGCCGAGCTCGATGACTGGCAAATGACCCGACACATTAGTATATAGACACATTGATCGGCATGTTTAGCCTACCTGTCGATGTCCAAAATGATCAGGATGAAGATGGACTCTCCACACGTCACTGAAATTGGATGTAGAAATTGGACCATTGCTTGGCGATGGAGGCAGGTATGCCATAGGACGATTAGGATGAAAGACGTGGATCTTCAATGACCCTTTCGAGCAGTCAGGGGAGAGAAAAGACCATTGCTTGTCGAAGAATTCTCCGCGACTCCTTCCTTCGAGTGGGAAGTTCTCCGCAGGGCGCTCTATATTGAAAGAGGTCTTATCAAGTAGCTGTTGCCCAGAGATCGGCGTGTCTTCCCTTGCGTTTGTGCTGTTGGTGACGGGCAAGTCCTTGTCCGTGAATCTAGCATTCATGAATTCTGGTAGGTGCTCAAGCTTCTCGATGAAAGCAAGGCAAAGGAATGTTCTTCGCGCATCGTTTTCTATCACAAAATCTACCAGCTTCTTAAGTTCTTTCCCCTTGAATTTCGACGAGCGTAACGTAGAAAGCACCTTCTTTTGTGTTGTAAGCTCAATGATGGAACTGGATGGCAGAAAACTATTGAAAATAAGTTCACCCTTGTGGGCAGCATGGTTTTTCACATGACTGGAGAGCTGGTCCCAGTCTACTGTGTCTGGTTGGGCAGCACTCTCCATCTGACACAGAGTTTTGATACGGTTGATGTAGGCGATCTTCCAGTTCATTTTTTTGGCGTTCAAGTATTCGGCAGTGGGCGGTTTGGTTTTGGCAAATTTAATCATCAATCTCAAGCCCGGCTGAGCCCACAGCCAAAACTCAAGAATTGCACATTGCATTAGCACGTAAGAAATATGTGTCCTCGTATCCGCTTTTCTGCGACAAAACCATGGTTGGGTTGCAATAAGGCGGCTCGGCGTCGCCCCGCCACCCTTGCGAACCAATATTGCTCGTCAAGCCAAACCTGAAGGAAATCACCTGAGATCCCGAATTCAGCCTCATCGGCTGCTTTCAGGTAGGATCCGCCAGTTGATATGCAGTTCGGGACTCGAGGAGGATGCCTCATGCATAAGATCCGTAAGCACAAGCGAGCCTCATGCTTCTAGTTGACGAGAGCGGCCCCCAAACTGTGACCAATTATCAATTATGGTGATGCCTTTCTGCACAACCAAAAGTACCTATTCTAGACCCCATTTCTGTACATATACCTGGCCGGGTTCCTTTGTGTCTGTGGCCACCATCACATCCACCCGAAATGCCTTGCATGTAGCGACCCAATAAGCACCAACAACTTGCCGCCCAGTCTACAGCCTAGCTACTGCAGGTTGACTCTTTGATTGTGCAATAATCCCAACTCGGCTGTGAAATCCTTAGTCGTCTATCGTGTTTGGCCAGGCCCAAATTGCCCATCTATCCCTAGAAAGCAGGTAATCGTTTGATGCCAACAATGTATTCGTCATTCCTCATCTCAAGGCTTTGAATCTCGATGTTGTGTTTGCCACAGAATATTTGAAGGTCCTTGACCAGCCTGTGTGGATTTTTGATGGATTTGCATGGGATGCGACACTCTTCAGCCGCCATGGTCGTCTGTGGGGTTTCTCTGCAATAAATACTCTATGAAATCCAACGAGGATGAGAGCAGGATCAGATGAAAGATGAAAAATCGAAACGTCTCTTGGAAGTATGCAAGGGTCACTATGAAAGGCTCACACAAGAATTAGTTTGCGAGCACTTAGCTTCTTAAAAGCGAGATTCAACCTCTACGCCTAGCAGTCGGTCTAATGTGTCGTATTGATTACGCCTTAGGAACCCATCTGGAAGTGCCTGGGCTATGGTAATAAGCCCATTTGTTTCTATTGATAGGTTGTTGCTAGCACTGCTGAGGATATCTTACTGCATATGCAATAAAACCACTGCCTTCTGCTGACAGCTGAAGGCTCACGGGATGTCCGTCGCGACTTTCTGCATATTGGGGGACATTGAAGTGAGCGGCAAAGGCACCGCCGAGAATCTAACGGGCGCCTTGATGCAAGCCAAATGCTGGCACTTCGGTGATTCTAGGCTTACATCAATGCACCGCTAGTTCCTTCTTGTGACGATGTACTCAGATTATGATACAGGATTACAAACAATTAAGCTAGGCAAGGCCAAAGTTACGTATTAGGTCAGTCGTAACCTGACCGCCTGATTGGCAAGGCTCCAGCCCGTTGATATTACGTCCCTACAATAATAATAAGGCTGTCCCATTCTTTCAGCTTTGCTGCAACTGTATTAGACTAACCGCCCAGTAGCTGTTCTGGGAATAGTCCATCCATCTAGAGATCGTGAAGGGTGCTATCCAAAATAACTCATTGCAAACGAGGCTCGCACTGTGATCATAATCATCTTGAACAACCGTATTAGACTAACCACCCAGTAGCTTTTCTGGGAATAGTTCATCTAGAGAACGTGAAGGGTGCTATCCAAAATAGCTTATTACAAACGAGGCTCGCACTGTGATCCTGATCATCTTAAGGTATCTTTAAAAGGAGGTGCTATTCAAGGTCTAGGATTGTGCTCATCCCTCTCTCAATCGTTAGCATTTTTCGGTGACATACATTGCTTATCAAGGATCTTCATACCATAGCCAAAACCTTTGTTTCACTTACCGTACGTTGTCATTATCACCAATTCTGTCACTAACAAGTGCCGGACTCCTCGACTCAGTTGTCACCTTCCTCATGATGGGAGCCCACGCTATGGAAAATCCACCTGTCATGGACCTCGGCTTCAGCCTGAGAGAAAGTCTAATCAAATCTGGACGGTGGCTGGCCAATGCAACTGACCGTGTAAAGCCATACAATGAACAGGACCAAGATGTCAGTTCTCAAACACAAAATCACCCCACGCATGATTCTCATTGACATTTCATATTTTCAGGATGACGGTGATGATGTGATTTTTGATCACTTGTGCCTAAGCGATGGAAAGGTGAATGAGAATGAGCTGACTCCATATGAGTTCCTTCCCCTTTCTTCACTGGAATTCCTCTTTAGCCTTGGAAGAACCAAAAAGATCATCGCCAAAGCTTTTCCACATGAGAACCACCAATATTTGCTGGCACAAATCTGTGGGAACAGCTACAAGCGAAGCAGGATTCGAATTCTTGCCGTGCTCTGCCAAATGAAGCGGCCTCAGCTTATCAAGTCATTTCTCCAACATAAGGTGTTCGACGACTCGCTCCCATTAGACAAGCAATTGAGCAAATTCGAATGGGAGAAGAAAGACCTGTTTGACTTTAGAGACAAACAATACAAGGCGCTTGCTCCGTTCTTTCATTTGAACGCTGGAAAACTCAGACATTATTGCCTAAATTCGAAGATACAAATTCCTTTTCTTTCACGTCGTGCCATAGGCAGCGGGGCTCATGGGGCAGTTTCCAAGATCTGCTTGCACGAAGATCATTATTTTTGGGAAGAAAACAATGTGAGACCGTATTTGGCGCCATTTTACATCCTGCTGCTTATATTTCCGTGTGTACTCACTGATACCTATCCCTTAGGACTTCGATCTCACGGGACCTTATTTCTCGTTGAAGGAATTCAACAGTGGAATGGCAAGTGAGTTTTTGAACGAGCGAAAAGCCTTAGAACGGTTTAGTGGATCACACTCTGGTCACCCTCATCTCATTCGGCTCTTGATGTCGTATGAGATTGATAAACACTACTTTATGATCTTCCCATTGGCGAAATACGATATGCTTGAGTTTTGGAAAAAGGTTACAAACAATCCTACATCCGACAAGTTTCTAGACTGGGTACTCACTCAATGTTATGGCCTTGCACGGGGACTCCAAAAAATTCACAAGCATGACGCTACGTTCGAGGAACAATCGGACAAGTATATGGGGCGACATGGCGATATCAAGCCTCGGAACATACTCTGCTTTGACTCTCCGGCGGAAGATGGTACTGATGACCATCGAGATGTTCCCCGGTATAGACTTGTCCTTGCCGACTTCACTTTCATGCGGTTTCATTCACCATTGTCCTGTGAGCATAGCACGGAGTCCGCTATGAGATATACTCACACCTACCGACCCCCGGAAACCTATTCAAACCACGGAAACATCTTCAGCCAAAAGCATGATGTCTGGACATTGGGGTGCGTCTATCTAGAATTCATCACATGGCATCTTCTCGGACATGATGCCATTGATGAACGGTTTTGTACAGAGGAAGATGGTCAAGTACGCGAGTTACAGGGTTTCCGGACCTTGCGGAATCTTGAAGATGCTGGCGATGGCCGTTTTCTCGAGGATGCATTCTTCAACCGGGATGAAAACAACCAAGCATATCTTAAGAAGTCAGTGCCTAAGGTATGTTCACAATCCCCGTGTCTCACGGAAATTTCTTCTTTGACACTTAGTTTTAGTGGTGTTCCTATTTACGCGAAAGACGGAGCTGCTCACCCCAGCTGTACAATTTCATCAACTTCATTCAGAAACACATGCTAGTCGTGGAACTGGGAGAGCGCGAACGTATTGATGTGGTATGTAGGGAACTGGACGACATATTGAAGGAAAAAAATCCAGTGCGCAACCGTCAATTTACCGAAGATTTGGGCGATTTTCCTCCCCGCTATACCCAAGAGGCAAGTTGAAGTGTCCAAATGCAATCAAGGTTTTGTCTTCTAATGGGTGGCTTAGACTAGAAGATTACTCGAGGACGCGAGAAGGGTCTCAAAAGGGTCTTACGCCGCAGGCTCAATTGAAGACAAATCAACCAAGAAAGCCTTTAAAGACCACATACTGAAAGGAAACAGAATCTCTGAGAGAAGCAATGATATGCCTGCCAAAGATATCAACATAGAAGGTGAGGATAATCGCGCTGACGCAAAGTCCATCGAACAGCCAGCTGTTTCTGCGAAATCTCTCATGGCCGACCAAGAAACACCCCCAGAGCCATCTTTAGTCAATAGTCTTCATATCACCCAAGCCAAAGAGAGTGAGAAACATTCTGCCGAAAACTCCAACATACTCTATAAAGATAACTCGGCCGATAGTAAATCTATCGAACAACTAGTTATGTCTAAGGGGCTGCTTGTTCCTGGGCAACAGACTTCTCTCAAGCCGTCGTCATTTGGCAGTCTTCATAGTACTCAAGTTGAGGAGGACGAAAAAAATTCTACGAAACCACAACGCCCATTGAGTTCTGACCAAAATTCAATGGAACGTGCTTCGCAGAGCTCCCATAATGAGAAAAGGCGAAATTGGATATTTCGAAGACTATCTAAATCTAAGAAACACGTAAAGAAGTGGTGGTTCAAATTCAAAGTGTCAACAGAAAGGCGGTGATTTCCTGCGAGTTTCGATTTTTCAATTGATATTTACTACTATTGACAGTTCTGGGATGATGCCTGTTTTTATTTTTTATTCTTATTTTTATTTTCGTTTAACTGTGTCGAGGAGGATATTTATAGGGGGGAGAGTATCGAAAGATGAATTGTGTATAATGATATTGTGGAAACACCAAGAAGAAAACTAATTTATCAACCTATAAGATTATCTAAGGATAACTATTATAGAAATTTTGTTTTATCGAATATTATAGCACCGATCTAAATGGGCTGGCTTCTACTCGACATCCATCGATTTCATAATGTAGTCGAATCCTCTCACTCGCCAAGTGGATCTGTACACCGCTTGCCGATCCGGTCAAAACTCTAAGAGAGGATCAAACATCCTCCACTTCAACGCTCTTCCGATCTTCAACCAATCCCCGTTTCACGACATCTTCCACTTCTCCTGACGGCTGTGGAATGTGAGTGCCGCCGGCCGGCACTATGCGATGGCTACTCCTCAGCGACCTCCACTTCAAGCACCATGATCTGGACCGGGTGCGGCGGACGGCGCAATGGATCGTGACGGCGGCGGAGCGAAACAAGGTTGGACGCGTGGTGGTGTGCGGTGACTTGCTGACAAGCCGCACGATGCATTCGACGCATGTCCTCTCTGCATGCTACCGCTTCATTGGACGGCTCAGTGAAGTCGTGCCACGAGTCCATATTGTGCTTGGCAACCATGACCTCGCCTACCGTCGCGACTACCAGACCACAGCTCTTGACGCCCTCAATATCAGCCGTTTGGCCCCGTTCGTGACGCTGCATAGCGGCGTCGCCAGCCATGAATGGGACGGTCGACGAGTCTTGTTGTTGCCGTTCCGCGAGGAACAGGAGGAGCTGACCAAGGCCGTGGCTGCTCTGTGCCCTGCTGAGGCTAGCAATACGGTTGCCTTTGCTCATCTCGCGATCAACAAGGCCATCACGCAGCGGCATGTAGTCAGTACAAGCGTTGATAAGCCTCATGTAGCCAACTCCATCACGTATCGTGGCTTAACGGGCCCGGATCACTTTGCCTCGCTGGCTCGAACGTTCACGGGACATTTTCACAGTCACCAGACTATTACCCAAGAGCGATCTAACCGCCACGATGTCGACCTGCAGGGCAGCATCACGTACCTGGGCTCTCCCCTGCAGCTGAGCTGGTCTGATCTCAACGATGAGCAGAGGGGTGTCGTATTGTTGGATCCGGAAACGCTCGAGCACGAAATACTGACCAACCCGCACGCCGTTGGCTACACAACAGCCGACCTGCGACAAGTTCTCGAAGGCCAGGTCGACCAGGATGCCGTCGTAGACAAGCACGTCATGCTTCTAGGTGAACTCACCCGCCTCAAGTACGTCTCGGCTCGCGACAAGCTTCTTTCGATGGGCGTGCGGAGCGTGAGAAGCTGGACACCCATGGGCTTTTTCGGCGGCCCGTCATTCGGTGGTCTCGGCTCATCTGTGCCGGCAAGCGATGCATCTGTCCAGCCCTTGGATGAGCCCACCAAGGCGGAGCCGGATCTAGGCACCACGAGCGACAGCGTTTCAGGTCCTGATCTTGTCACTGAACCTCAGATTTCAAGATTCGATCTCGCTGCGGAAGCTCGCGAGTATGTAGAGGGGCTGGAGCTAGACAAATCTTTGCTCTCTCGGCGAGATGAGCTGGTGCGGGTTGGCCAGCGATTAATCCAAGCCTCTCACGAAATGACAGATATAGAGAACGAGATCGAGGTCAAATACCGGGATTTCCTTGATAAATCATCACAAACTGTCGGTACAAGGACTGCTACTGAGCTGGTAGGATCCTCGACCCACGTATTCGTCGCCGAGCCGCGCAGGCTCTCAATCACCAACTTCCTTGGCGTGAAGGGCACTATCACCATTGACTTCCGACAGGACCTTCGGCGCGGATTGACATTCTTGGTCGGCGATAACGGTTCTGGTAAGAGCACGCTCGTCGAGGCCATGGTCTGGTGCCAATTCGGGCGGTGTATTCGTAGCGGGCTGGGGGTCAACGATGTCATCAACGACAGTGCCGGCCGGAACTGCTCAGTTATGCTAGAATTTGCCAACGGGTACGCCATCACCCGCTATCGCAAGCACAAGAGCCATGGTAACCGCGTCGTCGTCTCACTACACGGCGAGCCGCAGCCGCAGCTGGAGCACCCGGACACGCGGAAGACCCAGGCTGCCGTCGACGAGCTGCTTGGTATCGACTACGAGACGTACGTTAGGACGGTTGTGCTAGGCCACGAGAGCACGGCGAGCTTTCTGACCTCGACGCAAACGCAGCGGCGCGACTTGATTGAGGAATCGCTCGGGCTGTCGATACTGGATAAGTGCGGGCAGTTGTCGAAGCTATTGCTCAAGGATGTGGATAAGGACGTAGATGAGGTAGATGGTAAACTGGAAGGCTTGCTCCGGACGATGGGGTACAGCAAACAACGACTTCAAGATCTGGATGGGACACGGAAGCGGCTCAAACAGGAGGCGGAAGAGGCGGAAGAGGCTGTTGCATCTTTGGAGACGGTGATTCAAGAGTATGCAGCTGCTGAAATGCGGCTCGACGCACAAGGACCTCTCGGCAAAAACCACACACAACTTGGACACGAGCATTCCGAGGTCGACGCAGATGTTATAGGTCACAAGGAAAATCCCTTCGGCACAGACAAGGAATCCCAGGGCTTGCTAAGATCGACCCATTCCGCTGAGGTCAACGCGGACTTTCGCGTTGATATTTCGACCTTGCAGGATCAAATATACATTGGACAGGAGAACTTGCAGCGACTGGAGGACTCTTATGCTCGGATACAAGAAGAAGAAAAGCGTGTTGAGCTTACCTCACGCCCGACTTCACGCCTTGACTGGCTGCAGCGGCAACTAAGTCAAAGACTTGGGGAGATGGCTGCGGCTCATCCCATGGGCTTGCACAAATTCTTACGTGTCATGAAGACCTCCATCCTCAGCTTCGGGTTGTCGGTAGTGAGGGGCCTCCTAAACATCTTCAAGATTCCAAAGGACGACTCTCAGGGACCCAGCGCCCAAGGCCACAACCAAGCGGCAGCCATCGGCAGTCTCCGCAAAGACATCGAGAACAGCATGTCACGACTACAGATCCTAGAGAACGAGGCGGACAGAATTATTGCTCTAGAGAAGCTCGCTATCAACCACATCGCCAAGCTGAAGAAGCAGCTTGCGCAGACCATCCAGGCCCAAGAGGCATACGGCGCCCTGCAGCAGCAAGCCGCACTCAAGCAGCGCGAGGTCGCCACTTACACAGACTTGGTCGAAACAGATCAGTCGTCTCTCCAGTCGCTACGCTCGGAACACAAAACGTTAACCGCCAAACGCAAAGAGCTTGCCGCCAACCGTGAGCTTTTCACATTTTGGCTCTCCACCCTAGCGAAGCGCTCCCGCCGCACTTCTTCGGCTTCCTCAACGGCCAACTTCCGCGAGTATGTCCTTGTGAAGCCGCTAGCGGAGCTCAACGAGCTCCTCGCGCGGATTCTCACCACGCTGTACGACCACAACCACTCCGCACGCGGCATGGCAAAGGGGATGTTGCGCTCGCTACTGGAGCCCGACTATGGCGACGCCGTGATCGATGACTCCTCCTCGGGTTCCGTCCTCCAGCCCACCCTTGCCGTCCACCCCTCGCTGGCCTACGGCAAGCGCTCGGGCGGAGAGCGGAAGCGTGTCGACCTGGCGCTCTTCTTTTCACTGATGCAGCTGATGTGGGCCAGGAGTGCGCATCGCGCCCACTATATGCTTGTCGACGAGGTGTTTGACAGTCTGGACGAGGCGGGCCAGGCGGCTGTGGTCAGGTGGTGCGGGCTCATGTCGCAGACGGTGGCTGGCTGGATCGTCGTCATCACCCACAGCCAGTTCCTGATCGAGCGGAATGTAGAGGAAGACGCAGGCAAGGTCTCGATTATGCGGGCAAGGATGGGTCAGGATGGTATGGAGCTGGTTGTTGATGCACGGAGGATTGGTGTTGAATAAGATGCGATTGGAACATGTCGCCAGATCTTTTCTACCTATTGACGTGTGCCTTGTGCCGTGATATTTTCCTGCTCTCATAGTAATTCATCTCCTGAATCCTTAGTGCTCGTCTCATCAGAGCTTTTTTTTTCTCCCCCAGATTACACAGCAGCAGAAAGCCGGTCACAAATTTGAATATAATCAACGCCGCCGGGGACACTCTCAATTCTATGTCTTCCTGGTTCATTATGTCCATTAAAGCGCTCAACAATCGCGACAGTTAGTCCCACCCAAGCTCCAGCATCATTTCTCTCACCTGCTAATCACCACTAACGACTGGCTGCACAATTTGAGTGCGCGCTGTTTGGCCGGGCAGGGACGTTGTGCCCGAACAGCGACCGTACTTGGGGCATTCATTAGTGATGCATCTTGATTGTTTGATAGTCCCGCCTTGTGGAGTTCAGCATTGACATCTTTGTCCAAATTTAATCGTGCTTCGGTCTGTGACTAAAGGTGGTCGATATAAAGGCAATGTTTCATTTGCCTAAGGCTTTGCTCTTCAGGAAGCCCGGAGGCAAGCGTCGAAGCAGAGACCGATGCTCTTGATCGATAAACACGCTGGGCGCCAAAGGCAGCTGATCGATGTTCTTTTCATCAAGCATAACTATCCTGGCGAATCCGAGATCAATGTCTCGGGCATTCTTAGAGAATGGATGCGGTACGCGAGCTGTCTTGTTGACACGATCCTCTTGGAAGGCATTCAGCCAAGCTCAGTCAGGGACATCAATTTCCACACCTTTAAACACGTAAAGCATAGGGAAAATAACTTGAGCTACTGGCTGTTTCGAAGAAGTGGTCAGAAGTCCATTACTACCGAAGACTATCAAGATACAGTGGATGAGACTCGCAGGGTAAAAAGCAGCATCAGCTTTTCCAATCCAGCTGGGACAGCGAGTGCGGCTTTGATCGATACCATGGTCGGGAAATTACCTATTCCCAATGACTTCATAACAATTTCAGAAATCCGGCCTTCCTTCTTCTTTTCTAGCTTGTAAAGTTGCCCATTGCACGAGGCCGGAAACTAGGAGTTTCACGCCCGTGAGGCTTGGTCCGGGGTGGGAGCTGGCAGCGAGAGGTCCTTGGCTGCTCCACGCTCAAGTCGCTGATTGATTACCAGCACCACGTATTCTGAGAAATACGTTGATATTTGCAACCTGTTAGGCACTAAGAAGAAAGTTAAAACCAGTCCCTTTTTAACCATATAACCTCAACTTACAGGAGTTGAACATGTCATGCCTGAGCACTGTCCATTGACATATTGAGTCGCAACTTCCGTACATGTCTAGATAGATATTAGGATCTTTTCTATGTATACCTGAAGTCAGTAGAGTTAAGTTAACTTACTGATACTACCCAGGGATCATTGTTCTTTCCAGGGAGGATTGGCTTCCCTTTACCCTTGGTAGAGTGCTTGGCAGGTGGCTTGGCCTTCGCAGGTGGTTTGGCCTTGACAGCAGGCTTGGCTTTCGCAGGTGGTTTGGCCTTGACGGCAGGCTTGGCCTTGGTAGGAGGCTTGACCTTGGGAGGGGGCTTGGCCCTGCGTGACAGCCCTTGAAGAGAGGCTCGGTCCGGGGAATCGAAATCCCGCATGGCCACGCGGTTGGAATACTCTGAGCGTCTTCGAGCGGCAAAGGCGTTCCCGGAAAGCAGGAGAAGGGAGGCGGTGATGACTGTGGAAATCTGCATGGTGAAGGCTTTCGTACTTGGATAGACTTGAGTGAAGGTTTTAGTGGTAAGGTTCTGAGAGTGAAATAAGTTGTGATCTTAATGAAGATGAGAACTAATAGAATCAAAGTGTAAGGCATCATACTTATAGCTATGCAATTTTGCCAGTAAACATTGACAAGGGCAAACACCTTTCTAAAACCGAGGATCCGTGCCGCCCGAAAACATGGCAAAATGAAATTGCATGGCATGGCAAGATTCTCGCCATCACTAGGATTAAACACTGTGATTGAAAAACAGTTCGTGAGAGCCGTGGTCCGTACTGTGTGCCTGGTTTCAGCAATGGGAAGGCACTCGCGATATCTATCTAATTAGAGGCTTATTTTGTCATCAGGCAAAGGGCTGGACAGATCCCTGTAGTGTTGCCACTTCTATCGGATCATACTTCCATAAACAGATGGCATGCCACAAACTTGCCATGATCTGAGGTGAAAGATACCCAGGTACATACAGGGACCTAGAAAGTTTAATAGCATCCGCTGATTCCGCAGCATATGTAATTCCCTGTTTAGCCTATTCCAGTAAGAAAAGTCGAAGAATGCACGTAAACGCACGGCTATGCAACGCCACTACATATTGATTGTTGGCTGTACTGTCATCGAATGCATCTTTTTTCACAATCAGACCATTCAGCATCGTTTTGTGCGTTGCTGTGTCTCTAGTAATAAACAATAAGAAAGCCAACACATATAAATATCGACCAGCGTGAACGCCCCCTGCTAATTCATACTTCATCATCATCAGCAGCAGCATCTTTCCAGTCATAGGCCGTATCTTTGCATGCCCCTATTACTCGCTTCTTTGACCACCATCATCTTGATTCACTCGATATCTTGGTAGAGACTGCCTAGCCTTCTCGCCATGCTCTGCACTATCTGCCGCCAGGGTCTAGATGGCATCTGGGATCCGTCCAAAACCAAGCGCGTGTGCCGGATCGATGACTTTAATGAGCATTTCAAGGAAGGCGATTCCAACGGTCGTGTTGCTCTACCCATTGTGGCGAGCCATGCAGACCAACACCCGTCGCAATTTGTGTTTGGCCATCATCCGACTCCAGAGTCATACAAGCAGTCTGTTGAGCAGGGCTGTATTGTGTGTTCCGGGCCCGGGCACAAAGGTCAACAGAGCGACCAAGATCCAGTGATGGCTAATCTAGAATACTTTTCCGTATTCACCATTGATATTCGGAAAAATGATGCGGTCATGGAGATATTTAAGCCTGGGACACGAATGGGTGGCCAGCACCTAGTTTTTTACGAGGGTATATAAACAACATCCATTATTCTCGATTGACACCAAAATATTAACAAATATCTAGGCTCTCCACGAGATTACAATTTCAATCTCAGTCCATTGACTGGAGATGCTGCAACTTGGGCCTTAATCCAGAGCTGGGTGGACACATGCATTGAATCACATGAGCGCTGCAACCAGGAAACCAATTATATACCACAATATCTCCTTCAGTTGGATAAGCCTAACGGGCTCTTTCGCTTGGTATCGGCTGACCAAGTCGGCCCTCATTCCAATGTTCGCTACTGTACGCTTAGCCACTGCTATAGTGCTGATAGCCACCAGCTTACATCTTCAACCTTGGAGGCCCTTTCTCGCCCGCAGCCTCTCTCCAGCCTATCCTTAACCTACCAGGATGCATTTGCTGTAATGTCCCACCTAGGTGTCAACTACCTTTGGATCGACCATCTCTGTACTCTTCAAGATCGGCCATTTACCGACCGCGAGAGACGGGACGTCTTCTCCAACAGCTTCTGTGGAATTGGAGCCACGGGTTCAACATCGCCTTCGTCGGGACTTTTTACCAAACGGACACCTGAGCTCAGCTTTCCTACCATCTTTGAGTTTCCTCTTGGTGTTGATGGAGATACAGCCATGGTTAGATTCAACGAGCCAAACGCTGGCGATTTCCGCGATGAGCCCTTGATCAAGACTGCAAGGGGTTTCCAAGAGCGCCTATTGACACCAAGAATGATTCATTTCACGGCGTCGCTTATCTACTGGGAGTGCTATGGAGCCCTTTGTAGTGAGATGAACCCCCAGAACATGGTCCTCCTACCTAAATATTACACAGCCCCAGAGACAGACACAGTGCTAGGCAGTCAAAATACGCATGTATCGAATCGATCCCTAGCTGCCCCTGCTTGGAAACGACTCATCATGGTCCTGCCTCCGCCCTACCCAAACGCCGACGATAGAGATGCTATTTTGGATTCCTGGTTTCATCTGTTGCGAACATATACTCGTTGCTCACACGAAGCGCCGGAGGAAAGGCTGAGCTGCGTGGAAACCGCTGCTATGGACACCAAGGCTCTCCTCAAGAAAAATGGTCATGATGATATCTATCTTGCCGGTATGTGGAAGGATACGTTGCCTGCAGCCCTTGTCTGGACCGTGGAGGCTGCAGCAGATGGCCGGCCGGCGCAGTATCAAGGCCCTTCATGGAGCTGGTCTGCGGTAGATGGTGCCATTTCATACGACTACCGGAAGATGCGACAAGACGCGAATGACAATTTGTGTAAACTGATTGACGACAAGTATGAGGCAGGAACAGCTGCAGCCGGCAGCCTCACACTTCGGGGGAAACTGGCCGTTGGGAAGCTATGCCATCACGATTACAACGACTGGGTTGAAAACGGCCTGATGCCCGAGGATGTGCTAAGGACTCGGCATGGTGCACAGATGGATATCGCCGAATTGGTTGATCCGGATGCGGGAGCCAGCCTGGGCAAGGCACCAGATGACACTGATCACTTACACGAGTGGTGCGTCCGCTTTGACACCAAGCACGATATGAAGGAGGAGGTCTCTATGCTCCCGGTTAGTTTGGTTCCGGCCGGGAACCCATCCCTCGGAGTCACCGTGTACGGGATTGCTCTGACAAAGAGTGTCGGTGGGGTTTACACGCGTAGCGGGATGTGGCAAATCTCCTTGTCTTCCAAAGGCGAAGCAAGAGAGGCTTTCAAGGGTCTTGTAGATGGTGAAATCACAATTGTCTAACGCAAGGAAAAATGACGGACGAAGAAAGAAATTGGCCATTGGGAGTAGTGTGATAAGACTATATATAACTAGGGAGGAGAATAGGGAGGGAGATAAATAGCTGTGCTAGTCAATACAAGCACACTTGTCTCTCTCAAACACACAAACGCACGTCCTCACTTCCTCCCAAGAAGTAACAGACGTCGGTATAATAAAGACAGGCCAGGGCGACCTATAATGGCAGGTAATCGCCGGCCGCCAACATCACTCCCAATATGATTTTCCATCATTAGGGCATCGATTAACTATGGATCATGATTGAGTACTTGAACATTAATCATCCAAAAAACAACTACCAAACTCTTGACTCCGCCAATCAAATAAATCAACTAATCACATACATTCACAGCCAGCAGTCCTTGTTGGCCTGGACAAAATCCTTCCATGTGCAGGGCGCCTCGTCCAGCAGCGACAGACTCTCGGCCAAGTCGGCACCACCAAAGTACCCAGGCTCCTCGAGCAGGAGCATGTTCTCGAGAAGCTCCTGCGCAACCTTGGGGGTCATGAAGGACTTGAAGGTGTCGCCGTCAATCTTCTGAAATGCCGTCTCGACGCCCATGACCTCGGAGAACTCCTTGAGGAGCTCGTTGGGTGTGTAGTAGCTGCCAGCAGCGTAAATGGTCTTGCCGGAGGTGGCTGGGAAGTGCTTGATGCCGGCCTTGACGAATTTGCCTATTTGAAGGACTGTCAGTGGAACTGCTTGCTTTTCAACTTTGTTAGCTTTCAACTGGGTGGGGCCCTACCGTAGTCGTTGGAAACATCCATGAGGGGGAACTGGGCCTTGTTGGGGTCAATAGGCAGACTCAAGACAAAGGTGCCGTCTCCCCTGTTGCGAATAGCCGAGGTGAGGTTCACCATGAAGTATCCAGGCTGGACAAAGGTGGCAGGGATACCACAGGCGCGGATGTACTTCTCAATCTCAGCCTTCCCATCAAAGTGAGTGACATGAGGCAGACGTCCGTTGGTGGCCTCGGACACGTTGATGAGAGACGAGAAAAGCAGGTGCTTGACGCCGGCGGCCTTGGCAGCGTCGGTGACGTGTCTGCCCTGGGCAATCTCCTTCTCGGCGGACATGCCCTCCCAGAAGTTGGTGACGAAGAAGACGGTGTGGGCGCCCTCGACAGCAGGCCGGGCAGTCTCGGTGGAGTTCATATCAGCCTGGTCGTGAGTTGTGAGTCTACATGGTCACTTTTCATAGGCGACCCATTGGTCACTCATCCGCAGCGCGTCATTCACTTACAACAACCATCTCAACGCCCTGGGCTGCCAGCTCCTGGGAAGCGGCCTTGCGTGTGTCACGGGTAACACCGCGGAAGCGGTAGTGCTTGCAGATTTCTGCATCCTGGAGAAGAGCGTTGATGACTGAGCCGCCCTGGTTGCCAGTGGCACCAAAGACAGCGATGACCTTCTTGTGGCTCATTTTTTCCGACTGCTGCGAAGTGGTAGAGGATGGCAAGGATTGGTGATGGCTTCTTCGAAAGGGGGGTCGGATGAAGGGCTGATGAGTAGGATTCCCAAAGCTGGAAGTGATATTAAGTAGAGTCGGAGATGGCCTGGATCTGGTGAAAGTAGCTATCGGGACGGCGAGCTCGAGTCCTTTTATGGCACAGGCTCGATGAAGAGCTACGGTAGCCATTGAAGCGTTTGGTGCGTGTTTGGCCCCTCACTTCAAGTCCCTACAAAGTATGCGGTAATGCTAAATTACTGGAATGTTTAATGCCCAAGTCTGGGGCTGTTAAATCTGCTTGATAATCCATCACTGCATTTCACGGTATTTGTTACTGGAAGAATGGCCAAATGGACACCATCACTCAGCAATTACACTTTGCTGCTGTATCGCCAAATGCTGACAGAGAAAGCTCCAGGGCGACACTAACGAAGCTATAACGGCGGGGATCGTCATTGCCGAAAAGGCAGAGCAAACCTGACCGGTGCCGAGACGCACAAGTGGAGGACTGTTCACCAAGAGGCAGAGCTACTGGATGAAGGGGGGTGAGGCCAGGCTTGATGCGGCATCGCTGGCCCCCATCAAAGGCTTTGTAAGGAACCACAAATACGAGCCATTGACCACTGGAGGCGGGGCCAGTCCCATTGCTTGGAGAAATCTCTTTCAGCCGACAGGGGAGGGCAATTGGAGCGATTGATTGATTGATCAGAGTGATGTCAGGAGGAGTGATGTCAGTAAGAGAGTATGGAGATGGACCAGCAGCCATGGGGAAATAAAGGCTCGATGGAATTGTTCTTCTGCGCCGGGCCATCCATTTCCCTTTCTCGCACACAGGCTTTTGGTACAAAGACTGTCCATCCAGGTGCTTGCCGAGGGAGTTGGCTCTCTCGTAACTCCGATGTCGTCGTCATGGCTCAGTGTCGCTCGGCACGAATCGCCAACGAATCAATGGCTGTTTATTCATTTCCATCCCAGTCATTTCGCTACTTGCGGCTCTCATGACGTCAAGCTGGACAAACAGAATCGGCTCTGCTGCCGCCCGTCGCCTTAAACGCGGAAGCAGGGAGCCGAGTTGTTGATCCAGCTCCCACTCGGGCCTCGCCCGGCCGTTATTCCCAGTCATTTTGTCCGGTATCGCCAGTGAGCCCATCTTTTCACTGGGAGATGGTAGTGCCAATGACTGGGCCCCCGGTTTTCGAAGCAACCTGTATAAAGCGCCGTCGCAGCCCTGTGTGTCTGATCGCGGTAGATCGCGTGCCGCTTCCCAACATGCAGCTTTCCGCTCCAGCGACGTTTCTAGAGCCATGTCCGATCCGGAAAAAGACGACAGGGTCGGCAGATCCTCCCCACGCGATGATTCTGCAGACATGACCAAGGAAAGGAGGAGCGAAGACAACGACCGCGACATCGAACGCCTGAACAGCGGCAGCTCCTCGTCGACCGGCCATAGCCTCACGGGCTCGGAATTCAGCGATGATCACGACGGCCACCGCCCGACAATGGGCGAGATCCACGCTACATGCTCCCACAGAAGCCAGAGCCGCCAGCGCAGCCCAGCTCGAAGCCGTGCGCGGGCAGGAACAATTGGCACCGAGCTCAGCCAGGTCGTGTCTCGCCGCGAGACCGTCATGTCGAGGATTCGCTCCCGGCCCGTTCCCCAGTTCACACACCCTCTCGAGCACATCCCGACGACGGCTGAGCACCTGGTTGAGTTCGAGGGCTCCGACGACCCCTACCACCCCCTCAATTGGACTACCAAGAAGAAGGTCCTCACGACGTTGCTGTACGGGCTCATTACCATGTCTGCGACCTGGTCCTCGTCGGCGTACTCCGTTGGGACGCAGCAGGTCTCCCGCGAGTTCCACGTAGGCATCCAGGTGGCCAACCTGGGCACCACTCTGTTCTTGTTTGGGTTTGGTATTGGGCCGCTCCTCTGGGCGCCCTTGAGCGAGGTGTTTGGGAGGAGAGTGGCCGTCATGGTGCCGATGGTAGCATCCATCTGCTTCACGTTTGCGAGTGGAGCATCCAAGGACTTGCAGAGTCTGATGATCACTCGTTTCTTTGGCGCCTTCTTCGCCTCTGCGCCCGTCACCAACACGGGAGGTGTGTTGGGCGATATGTTTACAGCCTCGTCGAGAGGGTTCGCAATGGCAGGTTATGCCATGGCCGTTGTTGGTGGTCCAGCTCTTGGTAAGCGCATCTGAGATTTACTCGTCCGTAACGAAGCTGTAGTCACCAGACTCTTCTAGCCGGAGATGATGTTGGATGCTAACAGATTGGCAACACAAAGGCCCTATTGTTTCTGCTGCCTTGGTGCAAGACCCTTCACTGGGATGGCGCTGGACAGCATACCTCACCGGCATCATCCAATGCCTTGTCCTCACCCTCGGTGTCATATTCATTGATGAGAGCTACCCCCCCCAGGCTGCTCGTCTTCAAGGCCCGTCGCCTACGCCACGAGACCGGAAACTGGGCTCTACATGCCAAGTTCGAGGAATGGGATGTCAGTGTAGTCGAAATGGCGAAGAAGTTCCTTGTCCGCCCGCTCCAACTTCTCAGCACTCCCATCTGCTTCCTAGTCGCCTTGTACGCCAGCTTCACCTATGGTATTCTTTACATGCAGCTCGGCGCCATCCCCATTATATTTGGCGAGCTACGCGGCTGGAGTCCCTTTGTCTCGACCCTCCCCTTTATCTGCATCTTCCTCGGTGCCATCGTCGGATGCGCCGCCAACGTCTTCAACCAGCTTCTCTACAATAAAGCCTACCACGCCGCCGGGAACCGCCCAGTCCCCGAGATGAGGCTCCCCCCCATGATGGTCGGGTCCGTGGTCTTCAGCGCCGGCCAGTTCATGATAGGATGGACGGCCCAGCCCTCGATCCACTGGATCGCCCCCTGCGTCGGCCTCGTCCTGCTCGGCGCGGGCTTCTTCACCATCTTCCAGGCCGCGCTCAACTACCTCGTCGACACCTTCACGGCCTACGCCGCGTCCGCCGTCGCCGCCAACACGTTTCTACGGTCCTGCTTCGCCGGCGCGTTCCCCCTCGTCGTGGGGCCCATGTTTCACAATATTGGCGTCGGGCCTGGGTCCAGCATCACTGGCGGGTTCGGCGCCTTGCTGATCCCCGTGCCCTTTGTGTTCTACAGGTATGGGAAGCGGATTCGGGCGCGGTCCAAGTGGTCCAAGGGCTCGGTTTACGATTGATGAATCCACAGAGATTTTTTTCATCTTAGCATAATATTTTAGCGCTTTATACACTCAAGACAGAGTCGTGATTTTTAATTTTCATTATTTCGATCGCTCATTCTACCCTACTGATGATCCCAATTCTCGTCGCTACACGAATTCGACGCGACCGAAGAACTTTGTGATGTGAAAGCTTGCCTTGTCGGGTGGGCTCCATCCACCGAGGACCTGGTCGGGGAACGTCTCGGGGCTGGTGATGGTCCTGAAGAAGTTCATCCTCCACTTGGTGCCCTTGGCCTTGCCGGCCTTGACGTTGAACAGGCCGAGGGGGATCTGGGCCACGCTCGTCCACAGGGAGTTCTCCCTGTCAAGGGTCGTGGTGGCGGTGAAGCCGTCTGCGGCCGGGTCGGAGACGAACAAGTGGTCAAAGGGCGCGCCCTCGGCCCGGTTCTCGGAAGGGTTGTAGACGAACGCCTGGTACGTCACGTTGTTGGGGTTGATCTCGTACTCCAAGTACGTCTGGGGGTCGTCGGTGCCCTTGTAGATGAAGGCCTCGACGACCTCGTACTCCCAGATGTCGCCGTTGGTGGTCTGGTTGGGGTTGAAGTAGAAATTGGTCTCGTTGTGTGCGGTGAATTTGATCTCAATCGTCTCCTTGTTGTAGCAGAGACCAATCTCCGTCTTGGCGAACTCGGTGAGATCCGGGACCGACTTGGTGATGGTCGCGGTGCCCACAGACGGGCATGCTGGCACCTTCAGCGACGGGACCGAGTTGGTTGCTGACGCCACGGCCGCGAGGCCGGACACGAGCGAGGCAAGATTGGCGACAGAGGACCGCTGCATGGTGACGAGTGAATGAGTATATGGGCGAGGTAGAGGAGATTGGCAGAAGCTGGCTGAGCGTGAGAGCAGGGCCCGTCTCAATATATATACCTGATCTCAATTCAAACTTTAATCTTAGCTGTTGCGCTTACCTTCCCCTCACAGACGGACCCCCTCAGGTCCCTCTTCCTGGACCCCAGAGTAGGGTTACATTTGGATCATGGTTCAGGGCCTTTGGGAGTGGGCTCTTCACGCTATCTCGTATCTCATAGCAAGGGGCGAGGTGACGCGGATGCGTTACCAGGTAGTAACTGCAACGTAGTAAGCGACATCCATGTCACGGGCATTCCTCAGTTTGGGCCCTTGTCTCATTGGTCGAGTGGCGATATTATTCACCGACCATTGTTTCATTCAATTGATCTTTTGCCACCAAACAATGAGCATCAACACTAACGACCGCGACTAATACCTCTCACTGTCCATTCATTGGCTCTTTACCGTCATACAAGTGAATGGCATCCCTCGATCATAGGAATACGTTGATGAAGTGATCAATGCACCCACCATTATTGTCTCTAGGTTTCGGGAATTACTCAATTCTACCATGCCGGTACTCCCCTGCATGCTAATTACCTATCATGGACCTAAAGAATTGATATAGAAGTTAAACCTGATGTATTTATTGAAGAAAATTGTTCGAAGCATGCTAAATTTAGCCCTCAACGCGCTGTATAACTTGATAGGTGTTCCTACTCTTTAAAGACTGCTCCCAAAATGCAGCCTATATGTCATCAAGATAATGCCTCCAAGGAGACGGCGTGTCACGAACAATCTCGATATCAATACCATCAACAAGAGAGGTTTCTCTCAGTACCCTTTCCATTTCTCCACCTCGGCAGCAATCAGCAGTATCAATGACCTTGATGCGGCGCAACCATGGGAGGCTGGTCCGGTAGGTCCTGAACGATTCCTCAATCGTGTTGAGGATGCCCTCATCCGGCCATTGGTAATCCAAATCCGGCAGCCATCCGACATTTTGGTAAATCATGCCAGTTGAGAGGGAAAGCTCTTCGACATTGCGCGGCACAGAACACACCAGGGATTTTGCTTCGGCCCCGAAGCCCGCCAGAGCCACCAGCGGCACATCCAACTTGGTTATCCCTTCGAAATCGAGAAGAGAACTCACAGACTCGACGTTGGCAGTCAAGTTTGGTTCCTCATATAGCCGCCAGTGGCGAGAAAACTCCACTCTAAGCTGAAGGCTCTCCAAGGTAGCCTTGACGTGTGACAACGCCGCGATGATCTCGTCAAAGTCCACAGTTGCCGCTTCGGGGTAGTACTCCCATCCCCAAGAAAGTGACTTGAGGCACCGTGTTCGGGCAAGTAATCCAGCCATCAGAGTTGCACAATTGCTGTTGACGTCCAGCGAAGTCAGGTGGTCAAGCTCAGGCTCACCTGCTGGCCAATCAAGAACCTGCATGTCGCCGAATGAAACCACCAACTCTGTGACCGTTGATAGGCAAAATGGAGCCAGCGCAACCTCAGGTCTCAGGTCAACATAGGGGGCAAAGAAGACGAGCTGTCCAAGTCGCTTCCATAAGGGAGGCTGGCCCGCGGCTCCGTACAAGAGAAGTTGTGCAATAAATTCAGGCGACCGAAGAAAGTTGTTAACAATGATAAGTCGTCTTATGTTGGCGGCTTGCGCGATGCATCCCGGAGCTTTTGCACCCAGATATCAGTGAATGGGAGTTTGAGCTTTTGAATGATCGGCATGTAGCTCTGGACCCTATATCCAGTAGGCTTTAGAGAAGGCAGTTCGACGTCGAGCGGTTCATTTCCCTGCAGTACTAGGGTACGGATAAAGGCTAGCAGTTCAGGTCTCCGGAGAAGTGTTTGCAAAAGATTGATAATTGGGGGTGGCTGATACCTAGTCCACTCGAGCACAACGGTGGAATAAAGAAAGGGCTCGGCATAGGAGCGGAGGGATTTGTTAACTAGGTAAAGGTTCACGAGGCCCGGTCTCGGAATGAAACTCATAATCTGATCGATGACTTCAGCTGGGGCATTGGAGAAGTTCGCCTTCTTCCGTCTCGAGCGAGCACGTTTACGTTGGTGCTTGCCCATTTCGATGATCAGATCAGTCGGATGGTAAGAAACAAGATTGAGTCAGCAGCAGAGAGTGAGATGACGCCAAAATATCACATGACTGGAGTTTCGGCACGTTACACCTGTTTGGGATTATACATGTTCAGTCACGATTTCGCGTCCCATGGTTCCTTTGCTGAGCAATTACAGTGAAAAGCGCGCGTGTAACCAACTTTATACAAGAAATAATAAGGCATGGTAGCAAGTGATGAGCAATTGCTATCTCAAAGGGTGCTTACTGAGGTTTAGGGTAACCGCAACAAGCGATAAGAGAGCGTTGTCGTCAAGTGTTACGGGACACCGGAGAGTCAAACCTCAACCCGGATATCGGCTCACAACATTATGCTTGGATTTATTTAACACCTCATAGGGAGCCACAAGGGACTCATTAAGCAACGTGCGTGCAAAATTTAAGTACTGGTAGAAGAAGATAGATCATTGAAGCTATCTACGAAGAGAAATATCGACCTCTATGATGCTCTATAACGCATCTAAACCGGTGCTCATTACTAAAATCAGTTCTTATCCCTAAAAGTTGTGGCATTTGTCCAATTTTATATCTCAGTCATTGGGTTGTAGCCAGCGCCGACAAGTTCCCCGGAACACGAAAATCAAGAATGAGACTTTGGTGGTGATATAACCGCGAACAATCGCTCATTTCCCTGATTTGTGAGGTAAAGAAAAGGCACGCCAGGCAATTGGGTGAGAAAAGAAATGAGACACCAAGCTGCAGGGCGGCTATCAGCAGACCACTTTCCATGAATTTCACCGACATGAATTAACAAGATTCATGTACTGTCTCTCGGTTGTTTAGTATTGGCCCTCAATAATCTAAAAAATACCGGTCTCGGACTTGAGAATACAACGGGATAATGTTTGTATGTATCACTCTCCATGCTAGGTGCAGTAGATCTGGTTCAAGTGGATATTCCATGTCAAGCTGTTAGTAGGCGCGAAAGAGGTGGGGGTTGAATATCATATGATTAGGATCGTCAGTGACACGTCTGACGCCTGCTTAGGGCTATTACTGGGGTGTCATCACCACCGCACGGGATCAAGACCGCCTGTGCCCGTAGATCTGGTGATCCTGACAAATCTCAAACTACCGACGACGATTGAGTCTTCTCTCTGATCTGTGACCCACCTAGCCAAGCCGTTAACTGACACATTATTTGCCTCAAGTCTTATCATAGTGTACAAAGGCTTTGTTCAATATCGGATGTAGAAGTAGGTCTCGGTTCCCGCAGAGCACCTTCCGACATGCTCGCGTCTAGAAATCCAAGCGCGAGATGGGAGAGCAATGAAGATGTTAGTTAGGCTTCCCCATCTAACATTACCTCCTAGTCAAGAGAATGGATGAACCTCTGTAACAGTCCATTGTCAATACCCAGTTTCAACTTTGCTCAGTTACGCTGTTCTTCTGTGTCTCGGCTCCGAATACAATGAGTTTTCATCGTGCCATCACGCGAGCAGAAGGGGTGATTTGAGATTCAAGACAACCGGATATGACAGCTGATACGAGACATGGAATGTCGCACCCCGGCTAGGCTGTATCTCGCTGGATGCCGATTGGAGGCTATAGATCCTCCCTTCGTTTCCTCCAGGACCGAGGGATCTTTTGTGTTAGTCTTCCGTTTACATAACTAAGACATTTCCGCAAGGGAAATTGAACTAAGACCCCCATTTCTGTGATGGGTTGGCTGTTAGCCGCCGCGTTTTCACCACTCTAGGGTGATAACGATCGCCACGTAGAAAAAGAAAACAACAGGATCATAGATTGGCCCTTGTCCCTTGCTTCCGAAGCCGTCCCATGTCCCTTGCTATCGCTGACCTTCATAAAAGCTGGGACGATCCAAACCGGCAAATGGGAAAGACAGCTAGAGTATCTGTTTTCCCGCATTTCGCTCTCTTCTTCCCCCCTCACCTGGACATTTAGACCCATTTTGGCTTCCCACCTCACCGGCAAAATGTCATATATTCAAGATGAGGACGATATTGGGCTACGACTGGATGGAGCTGGTATTTTCTACGGGGTATTCGCAACCGTATGGACAGCCGCCGTCGTAGCTGGCATAACCTATCTCGTCTCCAACCGCAGCTCACCCACCCTGCGCATTCGCGGCTTGCATTTATCCATTTGCGCAGTCATCTTGCTGCACTGCTACTGGATCTCTGTTCAGATCGGCTACATCGTGCACAATAACATGCCGGGCGATGGCGAGTACTGGATCATGGGCACCTGGCTCCCGTTGGGCATTGCTGTATTTCACGCCTCGAACAGCCGCTTTCTCCACGTCGCCAAGGCTCAGAAACGATTTGTGGACAAGGTGGGGGAGAAACCGCAGACAGGTAGCTCTAAGGGAGTGTTTGGGTTCTATCGGCGACTTGACCACATCAACAAGGTGGGCGTTCTAGTTGGAGCAGGCATCACAGTTCAAGTAAGTTTACCCCCCCACGTACCGCTCCAGATGTTCTGACTAATTGCGTAATAGATTCTTACCACCATTGCCATGTACCTGATGTCCCGTAAGTGGCACGAATCGTGGGGAATTCCCGGCACCGAGGTCCACGGGGCGACAGAATATGAGAGACGAGAGAAGATGCTCAGGGGCTGGGAATGGTATGGCACGATCTCGGAGTGAACAAAGTGTCCAGCCAGCTAATCAAGTCCTCCAGGTGGCATACGGTGTTTTGGCAATTCTTCTGGGCGTGGATCTTTGCCCCCATGATCCTCTGGCGGTCGCGAAAAATCTACGACACTCAGGGATGGCGGCTGCAAACCATCGCTTGCTGTGTCTCTAGGTAAGAGGTGATTGCCACAGCTTTCCACTCTCCCGCTAATTATTGTACAGCTTGCACGCGGCCCCAATGTGGTTGATCGCCCTGTATGTTCCTCAGATGGACAAAGTTAACCGATACTTCATTCCTCCTCAATGGTATGCCCTCCTTCCGAGACATTGGTCACGCATTGTAAAGCCTCCCTAGCTAACCCCAAGCAGGATCGCAGTCTCCATCATGTTCTTGGAAATCTTCACCATTTTCCTTCCCTGCTGGCAAGTCATGCAACAGCAAAATCTCCGCCAGGAAGTTCTCGATACCATTGCCCAATGGGAAGCCAAAAGTAACTTCCCCGTGACGAGTGGCAAATCCATGATATCTGGATCGACCGCCATTGACTCGTTGGGAAGCAAAGACTCGACGCTCACCTCGCACTCGGATGAGAGCATCCTGACGATGGGTGCACTCGAACACGTCCTGCAGCGTAATCCAGGACCCCTTCTGGAATTCTCCGCGCTCCAGGACTTTTCGGGCGAGAATATTGCTTTCCTAGTAGCGGTGGCAGCCTGGAAGGCTAGCTTCGCTACAGAGGCTGATGCGAAAGAGCAGGGTGAGGGAAAGGAGCTCAACACTCAATATGAAGATGCCCTCCGCATCTACGCCGACTACGTAAGCTCCCGAGACGCCGAATTCCAGGTCAACCTTCCTTCTCCAATCCACAAGAAACTCGAAGACATGTTCGAAAAGTCAACCCGTGAGGCTTACGGCGACCGAAGCGAAGTCAATCCTGCCACGCCGTTTGATGTTCTGGATTGGCCCAGGCGCAAGGCTTCGGGATCTTCAGGCTCGTCGGCCATAACGACAACAGAGGAGGCCGGGCAAGTGGCAGAGGGGTTCAGCAAGACGATATTTGACGAGGCAGAGCAAAGCATAAAGTATCTCGTGTTGACCAACACCTGGCCCAAGTTTGTGAAGCAGCGCCAGTCGTCTATGGTTGTTTCGATGGAAGTCTGATGCAGGTGTCTCCGAATACACAGTAGCATATTGGGACAAAGTAATAGTAATAAGCAATATAAATAGTACATACATTTATCTCACCTAAACTATCTTGAGCTCTTTTGGCATTGCCTTGCCAATTCAAGCCAGTCTGCTCAGATCTGCATGCAGATTTACTCAGGTTCGGTTTGAAAAGAACCCACGCAAGCAGGACACTAGGAGTCACCAAAATACTTAGATTGGCGATAAAATGAAAATATGAACAAAGAGCTATGCTTGGTAAAGAAAATGTGCGTCATGATTACGACGACAGTGTGGGATGCCATCCAACCTTGTGTGAGGCTTGGTCTTCCGTTCATATCCACCTCCAATCTAAAAAGCAAATGGGAGTAGAAGATGACAGGGCCAAGAAACTGCCTAAGTCTTGTTGAGGAAGGTGCTTTTGAATACTGAATGATATGTGAGAAAAACTGCTGCAAAATCATTCCGTGACCCACGCAGAGAATTGCGTGATCTCTCTTTTGCAACAAACCTCAGTCCCCCCTAGAGGCCCCCTACGGCAGCCTAACAGTTAAGCTTGAATTAAACCTTTGCCAAGCTTTGCGCCACGGCCCTTCTTCAGGAATACCCAGCCGTTTAGCGGTTCGCTACAATGTAGGTCGGCCGGCTTTGAATGGCAATGTCGCCATCGGGACTGGGAGGCAGCCGTTCGGACGCGACATAGCCACGTTCCGCTAAGGGTTCTCTCCATGATAGGACTCAAGTTGTATGCTGGGCTTAGGACCGCAAATAATCGAACCATACCCTGGAAACCCCCTCTCAATATAACGTTGCGTCCAATGATAGAGACTGAGTAAGGATGAGGCCAAAAGATACACAATCCGTGTGGAGGTTCGAGAGAGAGCGCTTTAACAATGGATACTGCTCTCCCTGGCCTCCTACTATTCTTACGGCCCATGATTGGTACGGTAATACAGTCAGCTATCACCTCGCACGCAATTGGCGAGTTTGATCAGTGCAGGCGATCTCAGGGGAGTGACCTAATATGAGTGGATTTCGAAGAAATAAGATTCGTCTTTCCAAGATGTAACCTGTTTGATATTGCGTCAACATGCCCTTGATACCCACTGTTCTCTTGGCCTGCAACATGGTATATCTTTTCAGGCTGTCCCCATTTGCTACCCGGTCAGATTTGCTCTTACTAC